GTTCAGGGGTCGAAGCCGGCCTGCCCTTCACCTCCATCATCACCATCACCAGACCAGTCCTTGTGGGCCGACAATGGAAACCTGCCTTGGCTTGGAAGCCCACCATCCTTGCATCTCAACCACTCAGCCTTTGCCACAGATCCCACTGGCCGTCGCTTAAAAGTCAGTCTTGATGTTCCATCGACAGGGGCCGATGCAACATGTTCCCCCGACGTCGAGATTAAGAGGAACCTTTAGATAAGCTTCAAAATCTTATCTACTGTCTATTTTAACCATATTATCGATGAAGTCTATCGAGTCTTTCGAGTCTGTCGAGTCTATGCATATGCAGCCTTGTTCCCTCTGGTCCTCCTCCCGCATGAAACCAAAACGTCCACTACAGACGCCTCGTTTTTGCGGAAAGGGGACCCAAATCCAGGCACGCAAGCCACAATGACACGCTTCCGACCGTTATGCATTCCTCGATTTACTGTTAGCTATTGTCCTCAACTGCTTCTCAGAGCCCCTGGTCTGGACCTTCAGCGCCTCCTCCTGGCTTCGTCCGGGCGAGACACTTCTCATGCTCGTGGCGTCCTGGAAGGGCCAGCGGTTACATTCCTCACCAGGAGCGGGTGTCTCGCACCTCACCCGCCTCACATGGCCTGCAGATGATAGATATCGAACCATGGAGTATAAGTGCTTCAGGATCTGAACCCATCATCTGGATGTTCACTCTCTTTGCTCTCCATCGCTATACCCTCCCAGGCCTCACGCAGCAAGCAGCGCATCCATCAACATGCTGGGAAAAGACCTTTTCACCTCCGCACTTCTGTTTGCAGCGGCTGCCAGTGCCAGTCCCTACAGCAAGAACCTTGACCTCGATGGGCCCAAGTCGGTAGAAATCGCCGTCCAGACAGTGACAAAGGTTGTGCATCTTCAGAGCACTGCCAGTCCCACTTCTGTGGCACCCAAGGAAGACGACGAGAGCCTGCCCGTCGTCGACGAGCCTGTCGATGACCTCCAGAACATCACTGAACGCGCAGCTGTAGCGGGCTACAGGAATGCTGTCTACTTCACGAACTGGTAACATCGCTCTAAATCCACCAAAACTTGTGATGCGAATGCTGACTTCTCTCAGGGGCATCTATGGCGCCAACCACCAGCCTGCAGACTTTCCAGCTGACAAGGCCACCCATCTTCTCTACTCGTTCGCTGACATCAGATCCGATGGTCAAGTGTAAGTCAGCCGTTTCCAAATGGCACGCAGTTTCCGCTGACAATCTACCTAGCGTCTCGTCCGACACATATGCCGACCTGGAGAAGCACTTCCCTGGCGATTCCTGGAACGAACAAGGCACCAACGCCTACGGCTGCATCAAGCAGCTTTACCTCAGGAAGAAGAAGTTTCGCCAGCTCAAGCTTCTTCTCTCCATCGGCGGCTGGACATGGTCTCCCAAGTTCGCTCCTGTTGCGCGTACCGAAGCTGGCCGTCAGCGCTTCGCATCGAGCGCCGTTGCTCTCATGGCTGATTGGGGGTTCGACGGCATTGACATTGACTGGGAGTACCCCAAGAATGCCAATGAGGCGCTCGACTTCGTTCGGCTCCTGGCCGCCTGCCGCCAGGCCCTGGACAACTACGCTGCCAGGTACGCCAAGGGCTACCGGTTTCAGCTGACCATCGCCGTCCCCGCCGGTCCTACCAACTACCGCGTTCTTGACATGAAGAAGATGGCTCCGTTTGTCGATGGTTGGCACCTCATGGCATACGATTACGCGGGCTCTTGGTCCGGAAAGACCGGTCACCAGTCCAACCTCTACAGGAGCAAGAGTAACCCTGCCGCCACCCAGTACGACACGGAGACTGCCGTCAACTACTACCTCAGCCAAGGCATCAACCCAAGCAAAGTGCTGCTTGGCGTGCCGCTGTATGGCAGGTCCTTTGCTCGCACCGACGGCCTCGGAAAGCCGTATTCAGGCATTGGCAAGGGGTCCATCGAGGCTGGCGTCTACCACTACAAGGCTCTGCCGGCACCCGGCGCCGAGGAGCGCTGGGATGCCGAGGCTGTGGCCGCGTGGAGCTACGACAAGAAGACGCGGGAGCTCGTGACGTACGACAACCAAAACTCGGTGAAACGCAAGGCCGACTACCTCGTCAAGAAGAGACTCGGTGGTGCCGTGTTTTGGGAGTCGGCTGGCGATCGCGCCGGCGATCGCAGCCTTGTGAGGACCGTGTCGAAAGCCATGGGCGCCATGGACCAGACGAAGAACTGGCTGTCTTACCCTGCGAGTAAGTACGCCAACATTCGGAAGGGAATGCCGGGACAGTAGATGATGTTACGGCAATGTGCTATCATGATACATGAGACGGAGTTTAGCATGGGCGCTTGATTTGATACCATTGACAGATAGATTATTACGTGTTTTGAATTGATTTTTTCATACGTTTCACTTTGACTGTTTCTCTTCGATGCAGTGTGTACAATACTGAGTCTATGTCATCAGATCTTCCACAAAATCTCGAAGGCTCTCTATTACTTGGCACTTCCATCCTTTAAAACCCCTCCAACATGGGTCCACGTCAGGGATGCGATCCCTAAAGAACAAAGACAACGGCCGCCATGACAACCATGCCAGCGAAGCCCGTTACGCCGACCCGCACGCCAGCTCCCTGATCATCCTCGGCATTGAGCGTTCCGCCGCTCGCCCCCGTCGTCACGGCCTCCAGCCCACCGTTCGACGGTGCCGTCACCTCGGCCGACACGCCGGTCGCGAGGCGTAGCGACGTCTGCATCGTGCGGTCCGCGCCGAAAGACGACGTCGCCACCAGAAGCGTACCGGGAAGAGTGGCCGTTCGGTTCGGAGCGAGGCCGGTTGGCGCGAGGAGCGCAGAGCTTTGGGCGCCAGAGCCGACACCGCTACCGGCGCCGTTGCCCGACTCCCCCTGGTCATCTCCTTCGTCTGCATTGTCTCCTCCGTCGTCTGAGGCCCCCTCTTCTTCTCCTTCTTCTTCCTCTTCGTCTTCGCCATCACCAGATTCTTCTTCTTCATCGCCAGATTCCTCGTCGTCACCAGATTCCTCGTCGTCGCCAGATTCCTCCTCATCAGAGGAAGAATCCTCATCAGAGTCCGAGTCCGAGTCCGAGTCTGACTCCTCATCTGAATCGGAACCAGAATCCTCCTCGTCTCCTTCCTCATCGCCCTCGCCACCGTCCTGCTCCTCGTCGGCGGCCCCCTCGTCACCCGCAGGCCGGTCCTGGAGCTCACCGCTGCCAGAGTCGTCCGTGCCGGGCAGGGGTTCGAGTCCGGTCTCGCCGCCAGACGGACCCTGGACCTCCTCCGCGTCACCGGGAACGGGAGCAGCGGGGGGCGCGACGGGGGCGGTGCCGTTGCCGATGACGGCGGAGGGAGCGGCGCTCGGGAGGGCGTCGCCGGCGGGCAGAGCTGGGATGGGCTCTGGCGTTTGCACCTGTTGGGGGTGGGGGGATCTTCTTAGCTTTTCCGTTGTCATGCTGAAGAAGCAGGGGGAGGGAGGGAGCCAACTTACGGGAACCTGGGAGAGAGTGGCGTTTGTGGGGATCACGGGCAGGCTCTCGACGGGTGCGACGGGTACCAGAGGAGCGGCGGGCGCGGATGGCACGAGGGGTGCCGCCAGAGGCGGGGACGGAATGGCGGATTCGACGAGAGATACCGGCACCGAGGGCTCGAGCAGGTCGGAAGAGGCACTCGGAACAACAAGCTCGCTGGACGCCGCCGATGGCGCTGGAGGGTCGGTAATGTCGAGGGGCAGGCTGGGAACGGCCGACTCGCTGACAGACGAGATCGACGAGGCGGGATCAACCGACAGCGCGGCGCTGCTCGGCAGCAGGGGCGCGAGGGTGGGAATGGCCCCTTCCAAAATGCTAGATGCCGACTCGGAAGACTGGAGAGGGTCGGCCGGCGCAATAGGCCGCAGGGGGTTGACTCCCTCAACCGGGGCGGGAGACTCGAGCGGAAGGGCGGATGACGCCTCAGATGGGATGGGGGCCGGAGACGCGGCCGGCAGAGGGGACTCGGCTGGCGCAGAAGATGCAACGGGCAGAGCAGACGAAACAGGCAGAGCAGACTGAACCGGCTCAGCACCTTCCGGCGGCTGAACCTCCTCGATCTGCTCGCCACCGGTGCCGGGCAGCGGTCTCAGCTCACCAACGGTCTCCTGCAAGCCAGGCAGGGGCCGCAACTCGGCGCCCTGTCCACCGGTCTCGGCGCCGTCAGGAATCCCGTCCTGGTCGGCATCAGGGAGGTCAGCCACCGGCTGCTCAACCGGGACCCCGGGCGCGGGCACACCCTCGTCGTCGTTTCCCCCCTCGACAGGCACGGCCGGCTCGGGCGCCAGGACGGGCAGCTCCCCAACTCCCTCACCAGGGGGCACCTCAGGCGCGACAGAGGGCACGGCGGGATCGACGCTGCTCTGGGCCGCAGCGAGCGAGGCCGAGGCGCTCAACAGCAGGACGATCGCCTTGAACTGCATCGTTGTTCTCGTGGTCGTTCTTGTGGTACGTTGCCGTTGATAACTCGTTGTGATGGTCTTGGAGGTTGAGTAAAGATCGTGAGGTAACGTCGAACAGAGAGACAGACAGGTAGGCAGGCCGTACAGAACCAAAAGCTCACAACAATATGGCAGGTATTAATAACAGACAGGACAAACACCGCTAGGGCGTTGCGTGTGAGATGAAGAAGAAGAAGAAGCAGCGCGTCGTAGAGACGGCAATCAGGGAAAGAAAGAAAAATAAAAGACAGTGATAGTGAAGGTGAGGGGTGCTGGCCGGCAGTCAAGAAGAGAATGACACAAACATTTGAGACAGGACGAACTTGACTCGAGGAAATGAAAATCGAAGAAAAGGCACGAGAGAAAGAAAGGATGTCTGCATCGGAGATCTCTCGTCTTGACGAAGGTAGTCAAAATCAAAAAGAAAAAGGGCGGCAACGAAAGATGGGGAGGGGAGTCCCATGGGCCGAGCGGGACTTGGCGGAGCTGATGTCTCGCGAACCCCCCGTACATGATCCGCGACAGAGGCCGTCTGATGTTGGGGGGGAACAGCGTTGAAAGGCTCTCCGACGTTGCATTGCGGTAGGGCGGACATGGCACGGGGGCGGTAAGCGTGTCTGAGCGGGACGGCCGTGCTCGGGTTGTCTCTGTCTCGGTGTTCAACCCATGTGTGCTTGTGTGTCTGGGTTGGGTTGATGATGGTGGTGAGGTGGTGAGGTGGTGAGGTTGAAAGGAGGTCAAGATGATGACATTTAAGCATGATTAACCTTTGAGACTAGTCTGACGGCGAGGTTACCATCTCACAAGCCACACCGTTAGGGACCTGAGATTGACTTTGGTCGTCGGCTCCATTTCTGAGACGACTCGCGTGACCATGATCAATCTCCAACAACAGCGATGAGCGAACATCAGGCGTCATCCCAAGGCTTCACCCAAACATCGCCCAGAAATCCCCAATCCCATCGCATCAATGCAGAGGCGCAACTCTCAGACGACACGCGTCATCCCAAATGGCCGTCCCTCCCCCTCTCTCTCTCCCCAGAGTCCAGAACGCGAAAAGAGGCCGTCCCAGGAAACAAGGAGGCGGTCTCGAAACGTCCGACCCCTGCAGCCGATCAAACAACCGGCTCCGAACGAACCAGACACGCCGAGGCCAGCATGCCGCTCTCTCGTTCACGCGGCTGACGTCCGCTTTCGCCTCGCTTCAATTGAACTCGTTTCGTTGCTTCTCTGCCCTCTTGTCTTACTCAGTCTCGACTCGGTTGGCTGACCCAGAAGCCAGACAAACAGCAGACAACGAACACATGCAAGTGCACCGACAAGGGGGGTTTAGGACTTGACCAGACGGGGGTTAGATGTGCGAATGCCGAGACATGCTCTATCCACCCCATCCCGGCCGGGCAGGGCACGCGAAAAGAGAGAGAGAGAGAAGAAAAAAAGCAATTGGAGCTATTGAATTCGCACAGCTAGCGCCATGGTCTGTACAAGTACACGTAGTCCCATCTATAATGAAAGTTCACACGCGCGTTGCATTACTGTGCATCGCCTGGACATCCACCCTCGCGCCCAAGAAACCGTGCCCCATGTACCCCTGCCAGGCACGCCCAACCCGGAACCAGATACGGAGCCTCAATAGCAGTGCCCCTAAACGCCTTCGTAGTCAGGGCTACGGTTGGAAGAACACACACAGTCAGCAAACCTGCTCGGGATACGGTGGGGAACGGGGGCTCGGAGACCCGGGGGTAGAGTTCGACGGAAGGCAAGCTGGCAAAACAAGAAAGGGGGGAATAAGAAGGGCGTCGCCTTACATGTTAAAGCAACCCAATGCAGTGTCCTACACGCCCTCGGATTGATTCTCCCCCGGCGTGTTCGTGTTTGAAGCCCCGTGGAACGCGTCGCCGAATGCCGAGTCTTCCATCTCCATGTTCAGGTCCAAGCCATCGCCAAGCGAACCCGCTCCGCCGTCCAGCCCGCCGTCGTAGCCGGCCAGCGCCTCACCCGCTGTGTCGAGGTCACCGAGCGAGCTAAAGTCGTTGTCGCCTTCAGTGAGCGCCGGTGTTCCCACGGCTGAGCCCTGCCGAGCGGCGACGGCAGTAGGTGCCGTGGCTGCCGCCGCCGCTGCTGCTGCTGCTGCCGCGGCGGCGTCAGGGGCTGGGGCCGGGGCAGGCGTCGTGTTCGCGTTTGTGTCGGGAGACACACCACCCTTGGGCACGACGACCCAATCGCCGCTGCCCTGATCCTGTCCGCTGCTGGCCGCCGCATCCTTGTTGGCGTCCGTGTTGGCCATGGAGACGTCTGGCCCAGGACCGGACGCTGCAGCCGGCGCGGGAGAGGGTGCGCCCAAGTTGGCCGGCGTCGCTACGCCCGAGTTGAGTCCCGATGGCGTGGGGAAGTTGAGGGGCGTGGAAGTCGACGACAAGCCCGTATGCATCTCATCGAGAAGACCCGCAGCCGTACCGCCCATGTCGATATCAGCGTCATCGCCGGTAGCCCCGCTCTGCTGCGATCCAGCATGCGAAGGACGGCGTGACATGTCGTTTGACTCGGCGCCCACGTTGGGGACAGCGACTGGCGTCGCCTCCTTCACAGGCACCGGCGTCGCCTTCTTAACAGGCTCAGGCACGGGTTCCAAGTAGCCGCCCGCCTGCACCCGGTTCACGCCATGGAGGACCGCGATTTGACGTCCGAGATGCGCCTCGACCTGCGCCACAATGTCGTCGATTTTCTTGTTGTGCTTCTGCGACCAGGCGCTGCTGCCCTCGTCCGAGTCAGTCACCTGGCCCTCGAGACGCCAGAACTCGGCTCCACGTTCCTCGACCGAGTGGCGGAGTTCCTTCTCCGCGCTGAGAATGGTCGCGTTGGCCTTCATCTTGGCGATGGCCGCCTCGTGATCAGCCTTCATCTTCTCAATCTCGGCATTCGTCGTGTCAATGTGCTCCTGCGCCCGCTTCCTGAACTCATCCGCGAGGCCCTTGTCGAGCTTGCCGACGTAGGGCTTCTTGGGGTTCTCCAGGTGCGCCTCGCCGCCCTGAGAGGAGAAGATGCCGTCGGTGAGAGGGGCGAGCTCGCCCTTCAGGCCGAGACCCAGGTCGGGAGGGGTAATGTGAATGAGCGAATACGGAGAGGACCACACCTCCTCCATCCACTCGTGGTTCTGCTGGTACCGAGACAGTGCAATGTCCCGGGGCGTCAGCGTGTCGAACACATCGCCATAGAGATCCTCGTCCTCCAGCTCGAGCTGGAGGGCAGCCAGGGAGCCGGGCGGCGGAGGCGGCGCCTGAGACTGAGCCGCCGCCTGGGCTGCCGCCTGGGCTTGCGTCTGGCGGCCGCCCCGGCGTCCGGTGGGCATGACCTGCTGGTGAGTGGGATACGCCATCTGCTGGGGAAGTCGCCTCGACTGAATGGGCGCGTACACCTGCTGTCGGTTGCCGCCACTGCGCGGCCACGCAATTTGCGGCCAGTTGCCGCGGTCGGACAGCATGAAGTCCTTGCGCGTGATCTGGCCACAGTTCTGGAGGTAGTTGCGCTGGTTCAGCATGGTCTGGCTATCTTGCGTGAAGGGAACCATGTTGATCGGGAGACGGTCCTGGGGGTCGGCTTGGCCGTAGTGTACGAGCCAGAGGCTAATGTCGGGCTGCGGCGCGTTGATGTTGACCTGTTGCGAGGGAACAAGTCGGAACCTGCGGCGAGCGCGGACGGCCGCTGGGTCGCCGGGCGCGAAGCCCGTCTTGTTGTAGTAGATCTCAAGGTTCTGTCAAAGTCAGCGAGTGCGGAGGCCAACGTCACACGGGCAATTGATGCGTACCAGTCCATTGCCGACTTCCTGGCGGTGGTACTGCTCAGGCGCCCAGATGATGCCGTCGCTGGCATAGTTGGTTCCCAGTCTCTTGAGCGGTTGCCACGTGAGGAGAACCTGGCCATCGTTGGGACGATCGAGATAGGTCCAGAAGAATGGTGCCTTGTCTTTGGCGACCTGGGGGGCGCCTAGCAGCCATTTGGTGACGTGTTGAAGGTCGAGTCGGCCTTGGTTGGGATACTGGTTCGCGGAGATGAGGTGAACGTGCGGAAGCTGCCTTCCGTGTCAGCGCGATGCCTGGAGAGTCAAAGGGACGAATCAATGGATTCACGGTGATGGCCTACGAGCTGGTCCTCGATCGCGTCGCTAGGGTCATGAATTGGTTGTTGCTGCGCCATGGTCAAGCGAGGGAAGGCGCGTCGCGGCCGATTCGAACTCGGTGGAAATCTAGGAAAGAGTGTCGTGGCCTTTTCGGGGTGCTAATGGGTCCTCGGACCGGGCAGCGCTGAAGTGTAGATGACTGCCGATTGAATGAGGGGGGGGCTAGACGATGAATGTTGCGCGGCGAGTGGCACTGTGGTTGATGGTTGTTCAGCCTGGCCCTTACTCGTCGTGCCGGACGCTGGCCACGGCGCGCCCCAACCCAAATTCTTTCGCGACGAGGCTGCGCACGGACCACCTCCAGAGACACGCAAGGCACCCGTCCGGATCGGGCTTAGTTCAGGAGTTCCGTAGGTAAGGTACCTGTAGGTTGTACCTTGAGGAGTTACATGCAGGCTTTATTTACGGGCACCATCAGTGTCATGGCATGGCATCACGACCTGTTCACGTCATGACACTTTGAGCAAGGTTCATGTTACAATTGTCTTTCATTTCATGATCCAGCATCTGGCTGGCAAGTACGTAAGATCACCCCATCCTGTCCGGACCCATTACCACAACGCACACACCCCTTTTAAGCCTGGTACGTAGACGCAGAAACGTTGCCGCCACGGCCGGTCCAGTTGACGTGAACATCCGTGTCAACGGGGTACTTCTCGTTGGCGTGCTCGGGCTTGACACGGAAGGTGTGGGCGCCGAAGTAGTCACGCTGGGCCTGCAGAAGGTTGGCGGGAAGGTCCTTGGTGCGGTAGCCGTCGAACCACGACAGAGCGGTAGAGAAGGCGGGGGTGGGAATGCCGAGGAGCGCCGACTTGGCGACGACGTCTCTCCAGCCGGGCTGGGCGGTGTGGATGGCCTTGTTGAAGAAGTCGTCGAACAGGAGGTTCTGGAGGTCGGGGTTCTTGCGGTAGGCAGAGGTGATGTCCTTGAGGAAGACGGAGCGGATGATGCAGCCACCGCGCCACATGAGGGCGATCGAGGGCTTGTTGAGCTTCCAGCCGTACTCCTTGGCGGCCTGCATATTTTTTTCGTGTCAGTAAGTCGTACATTTTTGCAGAGCATCGGCTTGTGTGCGCCGGGAAGTACAAAAACTACTAAAAAAAAAAGACTCACCTCCTGCATGAGCATGAAGCCCTGGGCGTACGAGATGATCTTGGAGGCGTACAGAGCCTGCTCGAGATCGTCGAGGAACTGCTGCTTGTCGCCCTCGAACTTCTGAACGCGGCTCTCGAAGCGAAGAACACCAGAGGCCTTGGTGCGCTCGTCCTTGATGGCGGACAGGCAGCGGGCGAGGACAGCCTCGGCGATCAGGGTGACGGGCATGCCGAGGTCAAGGGCGTTGACGGCGGTCCACTTGCCGGTACCCTTCTGGCCGGCCTTGTCAAGAATCTTCTCGGCAAGGGGAGTGCCATCCTCGTCGTTGAAGTAGAGGATGTCACGGGTAATCTCGATGAGGAAGGAGTCAAGAACACCAGTGTTCCACTTGGCGAAGGTGTCGCCCATCTCCTTGTAGGACATGCCGAGGCCACGCTTCATGATGTCGTAGGCCTATTCGGTTGGTGCAGGTTAGCGTCCGTTCTCAACGTGCCGCCAATGGCACTGCACAGGAGACACAGAAGGCAGATGGGGAGCGGACGGGAGCTTACCTCGCAAATGAGCTGCATGTCACCGTACTCGATACCGTTGTGGACCATCTTGACGTAGTGGCCAGCACCCTCGTCACCGACCCAGTCGCAGCAGGCCTCGCCGTCGCTCTTGGCGGCGATGTCCTGGAAGATGTCCTTGATGAAGGGCCAGGCCTCCTCGTTACCACCGGGCATCATGGAGGGGCCGTAGCGGGCACCCTCCTCGCCACCGGAGACACCGGAGCCGACGAAACGCAGGCCCTTGCTGGCGCAGTATTGAGTGCGGCGGTTGGAGTCGGGGAAGTGGGAGTTGCCGCCATCAATGATGATGTCGCCGCGCTCGAGGAGGGGGATGAGGGTCTCGATGTAGTCATCGACGGCCTTGCCGGCCTGGACGAGAGCATGACACGGCGGGGCGTCTTGAGCTTGGAGACGAACTCCTCGATGGAGTGGGCGCCAACAATGGACTTGCCCTTGGCCTCGTTAGCGAGGAAGCGGTCGACCTTGGCAACGGTACGGTTGAAGGCCGCAATAGTGTAGCCATGGTCGGCCATGTTCAGAATGATGTTCTGTCCCCTGATCAACGGTATCAGCACGGGCGGGGCGGAAAGGGGGAGGGGCGCTATTCCGGCAGAGACGGTACATCTCGAAAGGAGGGAGGGGGGGAGCTTCAGAAACTTACATGACAGCAAGGCCAACAAGGCCGAGATCCGCGCTTGCCACATTGTCAGTACTGGACTTCGTCACGGAGGAAGACAGAGCTGGAACGACGCCGCCAACAATGTTGACGAGACGAGCGCTGGGTCGGGGCGATGGAGGCGTCAGAGCGAGGGGCACCAAGGTAAGTGGGGGGAGGGGTGAGCTGGCTTGGGATTTTTTTGGAACTGGCTCGAGGCGCCATCACTCTCAAGCGCAGTGCTTCCAGAATTGCTGCCGCAGAAAATGACATATTCGACAATGACACGAGAGCCGGATTCATGGGCGCGAGATTGCGGGAATTGACTGCCGTGTCATCGTGGAAGGTGCCAGAGCCTGGGCGAGCAACAAAAAAGAGTTGAGGGGCGGGGTGGTGGGGTAATCGCTCGGGTTTCCGTCATGACGAAGGACGAGGAGAAAGGCAGAGAGACCAGACAGAACCAGAGCCAGATCCTGCGCCAGAACCAGAGGCAGAGGCAGCGGCAGAGGCCGAGAGGTAGAGCCAGAGGAGCCAGATGGAGGGGTAGAGGAGCTTTGACTTACACGGCGCCAGACATGATGAAGGTCGTTTGGTGGGATCGGATTGCTTGCGATTGAAGTTACAGCAGCAAGGTGGGTTCAGCGGGAAGGGAAGAGAGTGGTGGGAGGAGAGGTGTAGATATTTATCTCCAGGCGAACCGAACCGAACCGGAGCAGACAAGAGCTGAGGGGGGTGCGGAAGTTATTATTACGGAGTTCCTGGCTCATAGGCTCCAGGCTCAGGCTCTAGGCTCTGGGCTCTAGGCTCATGGGGAGAGGATGGGATGGGCGATGACAGAGCGCCCCAATCATCGGCGGGTGTCACAGTGCCTGGCCCGGGAGGTGAGGGAGGGGCAGTGAGGGGTGGGGCCTGCCTTTTGTCCCCCTCTCCCCTCCTTACCTGCTTGCTGTGAGCGGCGGGGTGATTTTGGGTCTTGATCCTGGTTGCTAGGAGATGCGACATGGAGAATCTCTTGTCTGCACTGGGCTTAACGCCGCGGCGTGCCACAGTCCAACGTAGGGTTTTAGCGGGCATTGGATCGATCATGACGCTGAAGATTGCCAGGCGCGCGTGGGGTGGTGAGCTCGGTCTGCTTTCGCTTCGACTGCCGCTTGCAATCAGCATCATGGAGTAAAGCAAATATGCTTTCCGCGATCCATGTCCACACATATCAAGGAGAGAACGAACCATCTACTGACAGATTGAGGGCGGAATACAAGGACAAAAAAATGGCGTCTTTGCTACACAGTCCCATAGTGGCTGGACAAACGTCGCATTCACCCCCAAACATCAAACATGACTTGCGAAATCCTTGCTGATCAAGCACCGAGCATCATCTACTGCGCGCCACTTCCTCAGAGCAGCGTCGTCATGGGCGCGCATGGAGGGGCAGCCTGAACCAAGCGGCCCATGGCCCGCATCACTGGTCCAGCCCAAACAAACCAGCCCGGCTGCCGGTGGGCGTGACGTGGGACACGAAGCCATCGTGGACCCCCATTACCGCCAGAACCCTTGAGCACTGTGGTCCGAATCCGCTTCGGCCGAACCATCCCATTGGCCGCTCGCCCTGCCAGTTTCTGCCTCACACTGCGGGTGTTCCAGGGAACGCGATCTGCGACTGCGACTACGGACACCTCCCAAGGCTGGTCGTAAAGCCCAGAGGTTTCGAAATCCGGCGCACCTGCACCAGTTGGTATGAAGTGACCCCCAAATGACCCCCAACCTTCCAATAAGCCGAAGAAAATGGGAACGCCTGCGACCTTGTTGAATTGCCTCTGGCCATGACTGACTGTCGCGCTGCCTTCGGCCTGAATCGCACCGCCTCCCCCTTTGCGCGGAAGTTAGGGCCTTCCTGCTGGTGACAGTGCGTACCCCTCGCGAATGCATTTCTTTTGAGGGGCATCATGGGCATGTTCTCAGCCTCGCCTGGCACCCCTGCCTCGTCCTGAGATGGCGTTCATCCCATGGGTTTCGGAATCGTCGAGGACGGCCAGCATCTGCATTCCGGTTTCTGCCCGACAATTCTGCTTCCTCACTCGTGGAGGTTCCGCCTCGGGCGTCTATGTTAATGAATCCCCCCTCTCCTGATATCCGGGAGGCCTGTGAGGCTCGAAGCTCGAGCCCAGCGAATTGAGCTCAGGCGCGCTCTTATCCGTTGGGATCCACGCTAAATACGGATGATTCGTGACAAAAATGTCGCATCCAGCCGTCTTCGGGGCTGCACCGAGCCACCGGGCGCCCGCCCGAAGACTCCGCGGAGACTCCGCCGTGACATGACTGATTAGACCGGCAGAAGTCAAGGAGATGTCATGGCCAACAATTCCCTCGCGACCAAATTTTCCGGAGAACCATGAACAGCGTGGGGGTCCGTCCCGCTCCAGCCACACATCGCAGCCTCTGTGCACGTGATTTCACTGAGAGAACGCCACACATCCCGCACCAGGCTCCCATCCGTCCAAGGCTGAAGTGGATACGGATTTTTCCACCTGCATCAACATCACGACAACGCGATCGCCATTACAGTTTGCGCCAAACTTCAATACGACCGATATCTCGTCGATTTGACACTTACAGTAACAATTTCAAAAAATCATCTCCACTCAAACGCAGGCACTCTTTGAGCAGGAAACCGGCTCAGAGGTACGTTCCATAACAGCCAGCACCAAACCGCGTTGTTCCCAAAAAGCACAGTTCATTCATCATGGCCTACCCGCCCCCTCCAGGTATCTCAAACGCCTCATCCAACTCGTCGCACCCCTCGCTTCCCGCCCGTCCGCCTCCTTCAGCCAGCGCATCATCAGGCGGCAGCGGCGGCGGCTTCAAGTCCTCCTTCAAGCCGGCCTTCACACCCGCCCAATCTTCCTACTCCAGCGCTCCCAGCTATGGCGCCGGCAGCGCCCCGGCCGCCGGCCAGTACGGCCCTTCCTCATACCCCACCTACCAGCAGCCCGCATCCTCCATGAGCGCCGCCCCCTACCAGGCGCAGTCACAACCGTATCGGTACCCCCAGCAGCCGCAGCAACCGAGCAGCAACACCTACCAGCAAGGCGCCTACACGCGCCAGCGAGCGCAGCATCCTACGGCGCCGGCCCCCAGATCCGTAACCCCTTT